CGGCTCATTGTGAAGACCTCTCTGCTCTCAGACTTGGCTCATTGTGAAGACCTCTCTGCTCTCTATCCTTCCTGGGTCACCGACTGTCCAGAGAATGAACTCCCAGAGCTTCACTCTGCTCCTCGCACTGCTCAGTGTCCTGACACTGACCTCCACTGCATGTAAGTGATATCATTTTAAAATTAGAAACAGGGACAAATGAAAGACAGGATTTGTCCTTTGAAGAACCTCAAGAACCAAGACATATGAAGAATTAGGGGAAAAAATAAGAATTAAACATGTCATCGGAGAGGCTGTATCCATCATTCCTGGAGCTAAAGAGCCGCAGAACATTCAAGTTTTCGTTTTCCTGAGCCCTAAACCCTAATCGATTTAATTATTAAAATACAGTAACTAGTGTGAACTATTTTCTGTGTCTACAGTTGTTGTAGAAAGGGATAATAATGCAGTATTAGGGTGTGTACCAAAATCTTTTAAAACAAACTCAACTGGGGCCAGGGACATTTACTGTAGGTCCTTATGTAATGTCCTCATGTGGGGTCATATGTAATTGCTTGGTCATGAAAGATCGCATTTCCTTGTTGCAAGAGAAAGAGTGTGAACCTTGCTGTTCTGGGTAAATTCACTCTGGGCTTGTACAATCTGGCCTCCCAGAAGTTCCTCCTTAATTCGATTCCTGATGCTCCTCACCTGTTCTGCTGTGTCATAAGGCAGCCATGTTGGAAGTCCTATATATCCACTTGATCATTTGGTTGGTTGTACTTAATTGATCTGTGGAACTTGAGGATAGAAAGAAGCCAGGGTATCAGTGTATCTTCCAGACTCCCATATTCCTTTGTGTGAAGATGTGTTTCCTATTCTCTGCTTTAACTGTACTTCCATGGAGTGCTTCCCATTACTGCATGTTGACTTCTATCTTTTTGCCACTTTGTTGCAGATGAAGCCCCTTGCACTGGACAGGTTTGCTGCATCAGGTTCACAAAGCACAAAATCCCAAAGAAATTAATCAGCTCCTACTGGAGAACCAGCAGCTGCTGCCTCACAAACGCTGTAGTGTAAGTTTTGACTGATAATGAGAAATGTTTTTATTTTAAGTAATTAGTTAGGCTAGGGATGTACTGTATAAGATGAAGATAGATGTATAATGATTAAAAATGTAGTCTTTCCCCTGCTTCAATCAGGTGACATACCAATATAGCAGCTATAACTTTCTGTTCAAGTACAGTAATGTTTGTGAATGTTACAACTGTACAACCCTGTAAGTACAATACAAACAAATAGGAGCAAAGTTGCAAAGATACAAATACAGAGAGACTCTGTATCACTGATCTCTTGCTCCTTATTGGTGAAATAGCACAGTCAAACAATACCGTTAATGTATCTCATTGTATGTGCACTTATATACTGTTGAACAAATCTCGCCTCTGTGATAAATGTGCAAAATTAAAATTTTAAAAAATAAAATCTCTGCCTTAAACCCAGTTTGGTCAATAGAAGACAGCCTGATAATTTCATTCTTAATGCATTTCTTTCAGGTTTGAGATAAAGAATGGAAAGAGAATCTGTGCTGACCCCAGCGTGCACTGGGTGAGAAAAC